CCAGTATGTTAAGTATAGAATCCATTGGATCCAACAATCTCACTCCCAGGTATAAACCCAAGAATTAAAGACAGGTGTCCATGCAAAAATAGGTCTACAATTGCACATAACCACGTTACTCATGATAGGCAAAAAGCAGGAAAACCCAGATGTCCTTTAACTAATAAATAAATAAACAAAATATGGATGGATGTGGGGGGGAGGGGGGGATGGGCATGGAGGAGGGCACTTTGGGGATGAGCACTGAGTGTTATGTAGAAACTAATTTGACAATAAACTATTTGTAAAAAAAAAAAAAAGAAATTGTTTTGATGTAAAGTTTGATGGGACAATGGAGCATGCCATTCACATATAGCCTCTGAGGTGGAGCACAGAATTCCAGTGGACCCACCACGCATGGGAGTTCAGTGGGGCTCAAAGTGAAAGTAAGTTATGTATATTACACTATGACTGACTAAATGGAGAAAGGACAGCTCAGCAAAACTTCACTTTCCATTCAAACCAGAACTTGCTTCAAACACTGAAGGCAGTGATTTTTTGAGCACTACNAAAAAAAAAAAAAAAAACAAAATATGGTATATCCACACTGGAGTGTTATTTGGCAGTAACAAGAATGAGTGCCAAAATATTCTACAACATGGGTGAACTTGAAAACACTATGTTATAGGAAAGAAGCCAGGCACAAAAGGTTATGTTATATGATTCCTTTTATATGAAATATCCAAAGAAGGCAAATCTTTAATTTTTAAAGCTTTTTGTGTTTTTTAAACAAATAATCTCTATATCCAATATGGGGCTCAAACTCGTGACCCAAGATCAAAAGTCACAAGCTCTATCGACTGAGCCAGCTAGGTATCCCTCAGCAAATATTTAGAGACAGAATATAGATTAGTGGCTCTGAGGATGGGGGGGCGGGTAGTGTAGGTAGAGATTGATGTTCGTGAATATGAAAGGGGAGTGTGTTAACAATGCTCTGAAATCAGAGAGTGCTGATGATTACCCAAGTCCATGAACATACTAAATAAAAAAAAAAAAAAGCCCATCCCACTAAATAGTACATTTTAAAAAGTTGGACTTTATGGTATGTGTATAGTATATCCCTACAAAGCTATAATGTTTTTTAAATGTAAAATCTGCCTGTGACATCAAGGTTACTTTCAATTTAATATCCTTTTAAAGAGTAAATAAAAATGCTTAAAGCTATATAAATTTTTCAAAGGCAATTTGAAGATATGCTTATTTCATAGAAAGTAGAATAAAAAATTGTATTATCATTGCTGAATTTTTAGACCAAGAGTGGGGCTTCCTTATCTTTTCATTTACTGAATTGTCCACTTTAGAATTAGCACTCATTCAACTGAGATAAATTGTCTATTTTTGCAGATGAATGAACCAAAGTCAAGTGAAAGAAATTGGAACTTTTAAATGATGTCCAAACTTTAAATTATAAAATGATATTACCCATTTTAAAGAAATATTATTTCATTTTCTTTTCATGTTATTCCACATTCAGACTACTGATAAGCCTAACAAATCAAGGAAATATACTAATGATATACATTTCAACAGACAGAAAAAGGAGAGAATTTTCTATGCTGGTTATAAAATGCTAATTGTAGCATTCATCCTTCATAATTACACAAACTTCTAGTTTTCATTTATTAAACATGGACAGATTCGTCTCACTTTGTTTTATTAGAATGTTTTAGTCAACGATGCACTTTTTTAAATTTTAGTTAGCATAATGTACAAGTTTAAAATATATTTCCACTTTGTCTTTTTAAGTTGTAAATAAGACTCAAAAAGCAAGTTGTAAATAAAACTCAACACAGGATAACAGTATTGCTAGAACTAAAGAAACAAAGGATTAAGTAGATTGAGATTGTCTTTGGGATGATTTCTCAATTTGTTTAGAAATAACCACTATTTTAAGTCGAAGTACGCTGTATAAAAATCATGGATGATAGAGCTACATAAAATGAAATCATGGCCAAGGTTAACTTCATTTTTCTAATGTTTTTATTTATTTCTGAGAGAGAAACAGCATGAGCAGGGAGGGTCAGAGAGAGAGAGGGAGACACAGAATCTGAAGCAGGCTCCAGGCTTTGAGCTACCTGTCAGCACAGAGCCCGATGCAGGGCTCGAACCCACCAACCGTGAGATCATGACCTGAGCCGTGTCGGACGCTTAACTGACTGAGCTACTCAGGTGTCCCTCATTTATTTTTTTAATGCTTAATTATTTTGAGAGAGGGGGCATGGGGAATGGGGCAGAGGGTGGGGGGGAAGAGAGACTCCCAAGCAGGTTCTGTGCTTTCAGCATAGAGCCTGACATGGGGCTCAATCTCAGGAACCATGAGATCATGACCTGAGCCAAAATCAAAAGTTGGATGCTTAATTGACTGAACCACTCAGGCACCTCAAGGTTAACTTCATTTAAAATCTCTTCTAAAGCCATAATTTTCCTGGTTGTTTGTTTCCATACTTAAATTTAGTGATGCTCCCACCATGTTTTGTTGACTGGATTTTTTTTTTAATTTAACTTTCAATTGGTGAATGTTACAATGACTAGGATTCTTTTGTTATTGTGGTTAGTGTTGTCTCTTTCCTTCTTTCCTACCTTCCTTCTTTCCTTCCTTCCTTCCTTCCTTCCTTCCTTCCTTCCTTCCTCCTTTCCTCCTTTCCTTCCCTTCCTTTCCTTCCTTTTTGTTTTTTATTCCTATTTATTTGTTGTACTAATCTTCAAAGGTCCATTGGTAGTCTGAGCTTATGTTTCAAAGCATCCACTTAGTGCATGAATTATATTTGACTAACATCTTGGCTTGGATAAAAATAAAATTCTCCATCTTTATTTTGTTTTGGTTGGATAAAATATTTTAAGCTCTCACTTTCTTCCCCTCAGAATTTTAAACGTTACTCTATTATTTTTTCACACCAGAAATTGCTGAGTAGAAACCCTTTCATGATGAAAAACAAAACCCAAGGAAAAACAAATATATCTTCTTGAAATAGGAAACATCCTTACTGATTAAAAAAAAATTCAGCATATATTACACTTAATATTAGCAAAGGAAAGGAGGGTATGGATTAATAAAAGATGTGCAAACTCTACAGAGAAGAATATCAAACTTTGTAGAATGACATGAAATAAAGCCTAAATAAGTAGAGAGCTAATTTCTCAAATCACCCCATCTTTGCATAAAGCAAAAAGTGATTTAGAATTCCAAATGCTGAGGCTGATTCTTATTCTAGGACATTTTGCTCAGCTGGTACTGAAGTGTTGTTTATTCAGGATGAGGGAGATTGGCACACAAGGAGTTTGATAAAAGGTACAGACTCAGTCAAGTCTTCACAGTAAGACTTTCTGGAATGAACTGTAAAGTTGGTTCTCCAAGCACAATCTCCACCACACTCTAGGTTATTTAAAGAGTCATTGCATCTCATATCTATGCCTCCTCCAGCCGGCTGGATTAGGACTCTCGTGTGTTATAAATACAGCCATGTTTGTAATAGTGATCTCTGAGTTCTGTCTCTGCTTCACCAGGATAGGATCCACAGGGGGAAGGAAGCCCTTTACATTTGTCTTTCTGTAATATGAGCAGCAAAGGTGAGGTGCTCAATAAATAGATGCACAAAAATGTACTGGTTTTAAGCCTTGACTTCACAACTACATTTGAGAGTTAGTTACCAAATATGCCAAATGAAATGATCTCATTTATAGGGTCATGATGCTGATCTCCCTACGCTTTCACATGGTTTGGAGAATCAAATGAGATCATGTAAGAAGGTGGACTACAGACTATAAGCCACTCCCCGAGGCACATGTAGGGCAGTATCACTTGTAATCTTTGTACTTTATTTACTTTGTTTTACAATTTTATCAGTGTGATTTTATTAACAGCCTATACTCCAGCAAGTAAAACCTATATATGTTTAGTTTTTAACCATATATATATATATATGGTTAGGGTTTTTTTAAAATAAATAATTCTTTTAAACATGAATTTCTTCTAAACTTAATTAAATTAAGTGTGTTCTGATTCCTTTAGATTGTGATTTCCCAAGGGTAATGTTTACATTAGAAAATTACATAGTCATAGGTTTAATAAATATTTACAAAAAATAAATTTTGGACAGATAGAATAACAGAGTGAAAGACCGTTGATGAAATAGGTTGAGTTTTGCTTTCTGTATTTAGTAACTCATGAACTCTTACGAAAAGAGAATTGGGTCTTTATGTTGGTTACAATTCATGAAATTTCACTGTTGCAAAGTAATTTGGAGCTCTCGTTCAGAAGAAATGAATGTCTTTATTTCCATTAACCACTAACTAAAATATGCCATTTCCTTAAATGATCAATGTGATGTGGGCAAGAAACAGTGAGATCGGTAGTACTTGTGATAGTCACAAATAGACATCACAGATAATGTCATACTGGCCAATGGACTTCAGATTTCAAAGTAATTATAGATTACTATATATTACAAAGTAATCTATAATTACTTTGAAATTATAGCAGTCATTAAACCCAGTATTGATCTTGATTTTTTAAAAATTTTATTTAGTTTTGAGAGCAAGAGATAGAGAGGCAGCCAGAGAGAGAGGGAGACAGAGGATTCCAAGCAGGCTCTGCACTGACAGCAGTGAGCTCGATGTGGGGATTGACCTCACAACCCATGAGATCATGACCGAAGCTGAAGTTGGATGCTCAACTAACTGAACCACCCAGGCACCCTAGGCCTTGATATTTGATGTGTTAGTAATAAAACACATATTATATAGCAAACTGTTATAATAGTTTGATTTTGGTAGTTATAATTGCTCATTTTGTAATTTTATTTATTTTATGGATTTGATTACATTGTTTTGAGAAAGGTCCACAGGTTCATAAACTTGTCAAAGGAGCTAATGACACTTTTTGTTTTAAAGATGATCAAGAGCTCCTGCCTTTGAGGATATCTAATTCTACTTTCTATCTTCTATGGCCTTTCCACTGAAAGGGTGACCTGCGGCAACCACATCATCTGGGAAATTATAAATGCAGACACTCCAGACTCACTGCAAAACTGTTGAATCACACTCTGCATTTCAACAATATCCTTTGGTGAAGTGGACATTTTTCAGTGTGTTATTCTGTAATATTAACATATTTCCTTTAGCAATACCCCTTTGGGTGCCTGTATATTTTTTCACTACTTTGCCTAAACATTAGTAAACTTACCAGGATAAAAGAGAGAAAGAGAGAGAGAGGGAGAGAGAGAAAATAGCAATGTCCATTCTATTGCCAATAAACAATATATTTCTGGGTTTAATTAGATGTAGACACTACTCATCTAAAGTAATTATTCATTATATAAAATCCATGGAGAAAATCAACTTTCTAAGTTCCTAGAGGTTTTTATGACTCCAGAATTGCTGAAAAGTAAACACATCTTGCCTTTTTTTAGTCCCATTTTAGGAGTTCAAAACCCCTGAAAATATGTGATTATCCTGGAGGAAGGGAAGAAGGAAAAAGAAACAAATCATTAGAGAATATTGATGCATTTGACTAGGAGTAGCATCTATATTTAAGACTTGTGAAATGAGAAATAAGACAGAAAAGAGATAGCTAAGAAAAAACTAAAATTGGTAAATTACTTCAGTTTATCTACCATCCAGTCTTGAAATTTCAGCAGATATTTTAATATAATAATTATTTGAAAGCATTTTTAGAAGTAGTTGAAATGTTTGCATGATTTTCAAAGAAATCCAAAATGATGCCGAACTTTTGGAAAGCAAAGTTCATAAAGTAAGTGATGTAATATCTTTCTTTGAAAATTTTGACTCGGTAATTTCCTGCCAAAAACCATTTTTAGCAGTACTGTCTTCCAAGAATATAAATAAAATGATTAAACACAGAATACCTTTAAGAAATGAGATAAGGCAACATGCTTATGTAATGATACTTTCTGAAACAAAATTATTTTTTAATTTTTTAATATTTATTTATTTTTGACAGAGACAGACAAAGAGCCAAAGGAGGAAGGTCAGAGAGAGAGGCAGACACAGAATCCAAAGCAGGCCCCAGGCTCTGAGATGTCTGCACAAAGCTGGAGGTGGGGTTTAGACCCACGAATCACGAGATCATGACCTGAACCAAAGTCCAATGTTTAACCCACTGAGCCAACCAGGCACCCCTCAGAAAGAAAATTAAATGTGCATTTTTATTATTCTTTTGCTACAATATTTATTACCAATGATGTTAGAATTCTGACAATCTTATGAAGAAATGAGTGGATAAGCAAACACTGACGTAGCAATATTCACTTTTGAAAATTCCATTGATTAAACTTTAAATGCTTATAGTCAGCCAATTACTTTTCAAAAAAAGTAAAGTGCACACATTTGCACGCACACACACCAACACCTACTATTTAACTAGTAGACCTAAGTGAAGACTCTTTTACTAACTACAAATGAACCATTAGGAGATAGCATGATTTTAAAAGAAAATTTTAAAAGAAATTTTTTTTCCTGAGAGCAAGGGTTTATCAGATCAGAAACTAAGAGTAATTTTTCCAACATTAGAAAAACTGAAAAATACAGGTAAAAATGATGGAAGATATCCATTTGGAAATAGAAATGAGTATGCGTCGCCAACTTTAAATACCATCAGAACAGATGAATAAATGGACACAAACAATGAGTGAATTTAACTGCAGTTCTTTCCAGAAACAGAATTCAAACTTCATAGTCACAGGAAATGGGCTCATGTTGAAAAGAGCCACTTGAAAACTGGACAATGATACAAAAATCACTAATCTTTGAGAGGCGAGAGTTTGCCCAACTGTTAAAAGTAACTATGATCTGGGGCGCCTGGGTGGCTTAGTCGGTTGGACGTCCGACTTTCGCTTAGGTCATGATCTCACGGTTCGTGGGTTCGAGCCCCGCGTCGGGCTCTGTGCTGACTGCCAGCTCAGAGCCTGGAGCCTATTTCAGAGTCTGTGACTCCCTCTCTCTCTGACCCTCCCCTGCTCACGCTGTCTCTCTCTCTCTCTGTCCTAGAAATAAATAAAAAAATATTTAAAAATAAAAAAAAAGTAACTATGATCCATAATGGCCTCTTTCCTATGTCACAGCGGGAGTTCACCTGCATGCCCTCTGGCAGAGCAAGTTTCCAATATGGTCTGCCATCTTGGGTTTCTCTCTGGATCCCTGCCCCTATCTTCTAAGCACAATACTTTATATCTCATTTCTGTCAATAATAAATTGTGTCACAATAATTTTTGAATGTTTGCCATGTTTTCAAGATTTTGAAATTTACCAGGACACAAGACAAGTAATGTTAGTGCTTATGTTAGGACATGTGCCTTCCCACCAGGGAAGGACTCCTTTCCACCGATGTTTTTTCAAAGCTGAGAGCCACTTCAACGATGGCCTCATCTGAAGAGTCAGCTACTCGAAGATTTTAGCCTTTGGGTGCCGGTCCATATCTGAAGATTTATAAGACAGGGCAATAAAGGCTGGACTCTCATCCAACATGGAACAACTCCCCAGGCCGTTGCAGCCCCAGAGACACCTGTGAGAGTGTCCACTGCCCCTTTACCTCCCCCTCTGCCCAGCCTTGCTTCCTTACCTTGTGGTAGGTGATGTTGGACCTAAAGGCACTCCCTAATAAGCATCTTGTCCCCTTGCCAACTTCTTGGTTTCAGAACCCCTCTGGGGAACCCTACCTGACACATTGCTGCTTATAAAACCTAAGCAGGAAAAGATGGCCTTTGGGGCTTTTTGTTGTTATTGTTATTGTTGTTGTTGTTGTTGCTTGGGCTTTTGTGTTTTCCTTTGTTTTCATTTGTTTCCTTCCTCCTAGTAAATTCCCTCTAAAAGTCTATTTTAGAAGTATTCCAGTTAGTTGCCAGTTTGGTTGATGGTTAAGCATCTCCCAAGAGTGCATTTTAACAAGGAGATTTTTGAAGATGCTATTGCCTTGACAACCCAAAAGTATGAAGCAATAAAAAAAAAAAAAAAAAGAAGTAGAGGCTAATATTTTGATCCAGGCAAGTTCTGAATATCAATTCTATGATATCAGGATATTCAAGGAATATATAAACACTAGGAATACCATGCTCAGGTGGTCTCTGACCTCAAAATTCACTTATGGAACAAACCAAGAGCAACATAATAAACACATAAATAAATACACCAAATAAATAAATACACCAAATGAGTCTCTACATTCAAGGATCTACTTGTCTTAACTCCCTAAGTATTAGGAAGGAATTATACCTAAAACCAGTCATTCACTGAAGACTTCACCACCCCAACCTCTTCCTAACACACTTATGAGGCTATTCTATTGTTTGTTTGGAAATTCGACCAGATCACAGATGCTAGAATGCTTGCTGACTTCTCTCGTTCTCATCAACAATCTTCCCAGAATTGTCATCAGTAATGACCAGAAATTAGACCCAGGGGACAAGTCACATGGTTCCGTAATTTGGCCTGAACCAAATGCCATTTATAGTCTTTACAAAAATCATATAAAAGTTACTTACAGTTAAAATCATTTGAGAATTTTTAAGAGCTTTGTAAGTATTTCCAACATTTCTAAATTCTCCTTTAATACTAATATGTTAAATTCTCCTTAACATCCTAACAGAACTATTTAAAATCCAATCCTAGGTAATCATGAACCAACCATAAAAAGCAAACTAACCCAGAACTACTGTTTTGATGATTAATTGATGACTTCAAGGCCATAGGAGTGGAGGGAAACCTAATTTACTTCTTTTTAAAAAAATTTTTAAAAACGTTTTATTTATTTTTGAAACACAGAGACAGAGCATGAGTAGGGGAGGAGCAGAGAGAGAGAGGGAGACACAGAATCTGAAGCAGACTCCAGGTTCCGAGCCGTCAGCACAGGGCCTGACGTGGGGCTCGAACTCACAAACTGTGAGATCATGACCTGAGCCGAAGTCAGACGCTTAACCGACTGAGCCACCGTAGGCGCCACTAATTTACTTCTGACAGTGTTTGTTCTTTCTCTAAACAAGAGCACTCTCCTCTGAAACATGTTCCTTTCTTTCATCACTTTACTTTTCCTTCTGTTTTCTCCTTGTCCTTTTCACTTCCTTCTGACTAGGCCACAGGTGCTGGGAAGTTTGTGGTGCAGCAGAGCAATTCAAGTGTTTTTCATAACCCAATATTTTCTTACACAGGCTGTGAACAAAAAGATGTGCCTGTCTTTCTTCCCATGCCCCAATTAACCTCATATATTATAAGTTCCTAATTCAGTTAAGCAGTGCACAGGTGGGTCCTAAGTATGACATGAATCCCCAAAGATTTGCCTCCCGCTAGCTTCACAAACAAGGTCTATTACATATTGCTTTGAAGAAGCCAGTAGAAAATGTAAAGAACAATAACTGGTAAATATATTTATCTGTAAGCAATGGTATCACAGTAGCAGAAAAGAAAAATCACCCTGTATTGAGGTTAACTTACAGGTTATAGGGTTGTCCTTACAGTCTCTCTCTACCTGTGATAAAATTCAAAGAGAGCAAATTCAAAGAAACTTTTCAGCCATCTGACACCAGAATTCTGTATATTTTCTTTCCGGGAATATGATTGATTTTAAATTATATTTTATTTACTTAGGGGAATTCATCGGCAATAGATACTAATGAATTTAAATAACTTTAAAGACGTTAATAATGTATGCAAAAGAAACAGGGGACTAGTTTATCAAGCATTGGTATGTATACTTATGTATACTTTAGGTTTGTATCTTTTTAAAGTTTATTTCTGTTGAAAGAGGGGGGGGAGGTGAGGTCAAAGGAGGGGCAGAGAGTATCAGTTCAAAGTCCCACATGGGGATCAAACTCAGAAACCGTAAGATCATAACCTGAGCCAAAAGCAAGAGTCGGATGCTTAACCGACTGAGCCCCCCAGGTGCCACTAGGCTTGTATCTTTAATATAGTTAAATACCGGAAGTATTTAGGACTTTGTTATTTCAAACGTATCTGTCCAATTATTTTTACTAACAGCATATCATTTAATTTAGTGTAGAGTCAGTGTGTTATAAATTATCATAGAAATCAGCCTCAGTGTGTTATAAACTATCATAGAAATAGGCTTCCTTTTAAAAAAATCACTCTTGAGAATAATTAATACCTTAGAACTACTGAATAGCATAATGAAAAAAGACCAAGGCTGGAGGGCCAAGGATTTTATATAGAAACTTTCAACCTTGGGGCGCCTGGGTGGCTTAGTCGGTTGAGCGTCCGACTTTCGCTTGGGTCATGATCTCGCGGTTCGTGGGTTCGAGCCCCGCGTCGGGCACTGTGCTGACTGCCGGCTCAGAGCCTGGAGCCTGTTTCAGTCTGTGACTCCCTCTCTCTCTGACCCTCCCCTGCTCACGCTGTCTCTCTCTCTCTCTCTCCTAGAAATAAATAAAACATTAAAAAAAACACTTTATTAAAAAAAAAAAGAAACTCTCAACCTTAAAAATGGCTCTTCTACTTCATCTTTTTCTTCCTACAGCATCAAATATCCTCATCAGTACAATTTAAAATTTTTAAATGCATTAAATCAGCTTGAAGTTCCCTTGGTTGCTTCCAAAAATGTTATTATTCCAATGTATCATTTTAATCTATTTTAGGATATTCCAAATATCTATTGTTTCTCAGATCTATAAATAAAATATGTAAAACAGAGCAGTTTGTATTCAGTGTGTTACATGATTTCCATCCATACCCACAGTTCTTCAGTGATAACACGCCCTGGCTAGAGGGAATAAAATGTTTTTTCTTGTTGTAAAAAATAGTGATGTTTCTTTCCTTGTATATTGAGAAGAATATGTGATCAAGCAATGAAAATTCATTACTTTGAACCACTTAACTTTTCATGCAATAATTGTTAAAACACTGAGCTTTTTCTGCTGGCTAACATGTGAGTCAATACATTTTTTTGTAGAGTTCTCTGACGGTCTTCGAAAACAAGGGGCGCCTGGATGGCTCAGTCTGTTGAGCGTCCGACTTTGGCTCAGGTCA